GTGATTTTCTTGGACGACCTGAAAAATTGTCGATATTAAATCAAATTAAGTGTAGTGAACAACGGAACAATAATGATCATCATCTTTTATTTCGAGTGCATCAAAACATAAAAAGAATAATTATTTGCGAACATTACGGATAGCGAAGAACTACGCGTGCAGACTACCAGAATAGTCTGGATCTAAATGAGTACATCATGCTTTCAAACTAAGAAGTCCTGTAACTTTCTTTTTCTCTGTTCGCGTATACACAAGAAATAGTTGTGAGGGGGAAATTATTTCTTTTAGTAAAATGCTTCATTCATTGAAACTGCATGTCAGTTTTAATCTAGTTTTGATATTTGCATGTAAATGAAGCAATAGTTCCGCTTCAGAGAATTTTGAAGTATTCTCCTACTTCTTCTTCTTCTTCTTCTTCTATATTATTTCCACTTTTCCACTTATTATTTCCACATTTTGCACAACAACTTTGAGTCGAAGTTTCTTTACCGCTCGTTTTAATTCGGTAATCAAGGTCAGTTTGGTCGTGACTTTGCGCCAGTCCATTGCCTGAACTAAGTCGTTCCATATGCAATAATCCAAAGGATTAAAGTCTTGACTATTAGCAGGCCAACGTTCTTTGCTAATAAACGACGGCAAATTTCGACGACACCATTCTTGCGTTAAATGCTGTTTATGCGCAGGTGCATTATTCTGCTGAAATGTCCAATCGCCACCTAACATCTTGGCACCGAATTTCTTTGCCACTGGAAGTACTTTTTCGATGTAAACCGTGTGATCAACCGAACCTTCATCTAAAATCACCAGCGGTGTCAGAGCTTGTGAACATGCCCCTAGCCAAACCATACTTTTAGTTGGGAACTTTCGCTTTTTCTGGACACCGCCTTGCTTTCGCACGGTTTACGGTCCAAATTCGGTCGTTTTGTGAAGGCACCATCGATGTTGAAATTCTTTTCATCGGAAACCAACACTCTTCTCAGATCTTCTTTTCTGAATGTTCGTTGAACCCATGTGGCAAATGTTTTTCTGTTAGCTTTTTGTTCATCAGTAATCGCCGACTCCTTGATGATTTTGTAGGCATGACACCCTAAATCATATCTCAAGATTCGATGGACACTTGTGTCTGATATATTGAGTTCACGTGCCAACTTTCTTTCCGACACCCTCTTCCCTTTAGCCAACCGCTGTTTGGCTTTTTCTTATCGCTGCTTTTATACGAGCAGTACGTTGACGACCTGGTGGTTTTGGTAGATTGATGGAGCCGGTTCGTTCAATCAGTTTTATGCATCTTTGAATAGTATCTAAGGATAAAGCACCCTTCAAATCACGGAAGATTTTTCGTGGATGATCGCCTGATTGATGTTTGCATAGTACGACATTTTGGAGATCTTTACTTGTCATCTTATCGACAATACATAAAAAGTGATATTTCTTATCTTTTTATTTCTTCTTTGGTAGACGCTGAATCATTTTTGCTTTCTTTGATAGTTAACAATCATACGTTTTATTTATGCAACTTACGACCTATCTCGTGCTTTGAAAATTTACAAAAATTTCTCTTTTCACACATAAAAAAGATTTTATTATCTTGTCGGCTGACTTCAACGTTCGTATAGTTAAGTCTGTAATATCAGTAGGGTTACGTTCTTTAATGGACATATTTGACCTTACCAACACGTTCTCTCTACCTACAACAGTTAAAATTACATTTATAGAAAATGTGTTGTTTTCTTCTGCTCTTTCTTCTCTGTGTTGACCATTGTTCCTTCTTTAGGCAAGTCTACCCACTATGTTTTGTCTAGTTCTTTTCCTTACGAAATAAAAGTGGAATGTGCTTTTCGCCAAGTATAATTAATTTCGCTTTTTAGTGATAACCATTTAGTATAAATTAATTAAGCATTTGATTGTGTATCAAATGTTAATTCAATGGTTACTGTAAACATTATTCAACTGTTTGCAACTGTTCGATTACATTTAATGCTATGCATCCTACTGAATGTAATTAAGCTTTTGAACTTAATTTAACAAAATTTAAATATTCTAAATTAACATAAGATTTGAAAAAAGAAGATTTCCCATCAAAAGTTCGAACATTATCTAAAGCTAATGTTTTTTCAATAGTTGTTCGGATGATCGAAGACCCAGGTGATATATCTGAATATCTTGAATTGTACTTTATGAAATGTAATTGAAAATCAAATGCAGGACGCGTATTGATTGTCATGACTAGTGATTGATTGGAAATAAAGTATTACATATATGCAACTAAAAAATTAGTTCATACATAGAAGAAAGAAAAATAAGTGATTATACTAACATTCTCATCTGTTAAACATGTGAGGTAGTAACTTTTAGTATGTATCAAAGTCAAGATCATTATGATTGTGACTAAATATTTTCACAACACCTTGTCCGTAGTTTGCGGAAAACGAAGTATTTTGAAGCAAAAGCGTACCTTCAAAAGGTGTTCAAGGAATATCGAGTCAGCAAAGTATTATCTCATAGAAAATGACATTCTGAACAATTTTTGCAGCTATACTTTGACTCCTAAATGCTTTCTTTGCGAGAAACGCCAGTCAAGATTCTTCTCAAAATATTTTTAGCTCTAGAATTAAAGCTCCTCTTTATATGTGTCTATTGATGATAAAATAGGTAAGAACCTGCCTATTAACTTCCTTGGTCATCTTATTTTTTATGAAGGAAAAACCAACCGAACGAATATGCGTAAATAAAGTACTATAGGTGGCAAAATAGAAAGTATGTTTTTCTATTCTGGTAAAAAATACGTTTTTAAACTTGAAAGAACGGGATAAAAAGAAGAAAAAAATTCATTTCAATGTGCGTAGCTGTTTATTTTTCTTGTTTTGATCATGATGACAGAAAATAACGTGCATATATAACGTGAGAATATATACATTTATGACAAGAATAATAATCGCATTCAGTTATGGAGGAACGAAGGCACTATTGATTACTCTCAGTATATAACTCAGCGAAAAATCCAAAGATAGTATAGGTGTAAGATAAACTATTCTCAAAAAGTTAAAATCTACAAAATATTTCTTTGCTTTTATTACAAGTGTTTTCTCCGTTTTATCAAACATAATGCCTTACCTACCGTCTGCAATACGTTGAGATAATGCTGAATCTGCTTCGGTAGATCTATATAAAAGTCTGTGATTAGTATAAAGTCTAATATTGATGACTGATGAATTTGTTTTTAAATAGAACATGTTGAGTAGAAACTTTACTTCAGTATTGGTTAACAGAGACAGAAACGGATCGGGTCGAATGTGGATCGTATAAATAAAAAGGTTTCCGGTCAGGTCGAAAAAAAACGTTTTACGGGTTTTGTTGGGTAAACATTCTGATTCAGAATATTCTTGTCATAAATGCACATGTTTTCACGTTAGATATGCGTGCCTGTTTTCCTGTTATCATGATCAAAACAAGAAAATAAACAGCTCCGCACATTGAAATGAATTTTTTTCTTCTTTCTTTCCCGTTCTTTCAAGTTTCATAACGTGTACTTTACCAGAACAGAAAAACATACTTTCTATTTTGTTACCTATAGTTCTTCTTTTACGCATATTCGTTCGGCTGATTCTTTCCCACAATACGATGACCAAGAAAGTTAATAGACAGTTTCATATCTATTTTATTACCAAAAGAAATGTAAGTTTTACTTAATTGTAGTCGGTCAGTGTTTGAAACAAGCGAGTTCGAAGTCAGAAGCATCGAATAAACATTGATAACACATCTTTCTAAATATCTTCAGATGAAATGGCATCAATGATGGATTCGAAACCAAAGATGTCCACCGTTAGTGGACATGGAGGAGAATTATATTTATTTTTGATTGATTTTGTAACCGGGATTGATGGAGTCAGTAATAATGTAAAAGATAATTGCAGGTAAAAAGAAGTCTAGCACGTAACTAGACTGTGATTTTCAAATACATTCGAATTAATTTCAGACGATTTCATAAATGTTTAACGGATATATTCGACGCTCACGAAATTGCATTGGGACAGAGTCAGTTGTGTACTAGAATCTTTGACACAATATTCTCATATCTCAAATTTTAAGGTTTGAAGTCGCTGAATAACACACTGGAAGAAATTCATTGCCAGATGAAAAAGTGCAGGTGGACTGTGGAAATTATGTGTGATGCTGTGATACCTACCGTCGGAAGACATAACGAAAATTTTGAAAACAAAAAATTGATGGTAAAGGTTAATTTACTTTACGTTCTAAATAAGAAGCGTTATGTTGTTTATTTCTTCATTGAAGGACGATAAGCATAATATGATATTTGTTTGCCTTGATGAAGTTCAAGAGAAGAATCGTCTTGCCTTTCGAACCTACTTTGCAGGAAAAAATTTTGAATTGAATATGTCAAATGAAAACAGTATCGAATGGAAAAATTTTATAAAATATTTACATAGTAAGTATTTCGACATCATAGTAACGGATAATCATTTATATTCACTTATTTGAATATTAATTCTAGATGAGGTTCCAAAATCCTACAGTGTTGAACATTACGTAAGTTACTTCGAATATGTTGACTAATAATAACTGCTATAATCTTGCAAACCTATCTAGGCTGATGTTTATCCACTGTTATTGCACGTGAGTAGTATTAGTGCTGGTATCGTGTTCAATTACTATTACAGTTATATGATTAAACAAGCACGTAGTAAGTATGGAAATAAAATTACTGACTCGTGTATCATTCTTTTCTGTTTCTAGCAAATAATATATATTTAAAAATTACATTTGAGCAAAAAATCGTTAGTGAAAAGGAATTTATTCTTCCTAAAAACATTCAAATTCAATTAGTCTCAGAAATTGAAAGTTTTTACATGCATGAACATAAAATTCCAACAGATAAAAATAGAAGAATTTTGAGTCCAAATAATACTGAGTCACGGTTGTTAACGTCGAATAAACTCGATATGCACTATGATAAACTGGAGGATGGCAAAGCAGTTTACGCGGCAACAGCTTTCAATTTGGCAACAGGAATTAGCGATTTTGGAAGTCAAGTATGCATTATTACTTGCAATGTGTTCCATGACACAACTGACCTTTGTTTGTCGATCATATCGGCATTGTATACCTAGATCTACACATACCGATGCTTCATCTAATTAAAAAGATCGACAGCTATAACGTTATGTGTTTCTTATTTAGGTGCAAGAACTCTACGTATGGTATGGATCTTCGAACGCTGGTATTAAAAGTATATCCATGCTAGATGATGTTCGTGAATGGAACGAACATTATGTAGTGAAACGGTAATTGTCAGTAGTATAGCCTAAAATCGAAAAGTAATTGGAAAAATGTCGAACATTATTTCTGCATGTGTTCTAATGTGCCAAGGAGTTTTACATTTTTTCCTGGTAGAAACGGAAAAAGACATACAAAACAAAATGTTTCATTACTAAGTTTGAGTGAGAAAACATTGAAATACCAAACATCATTAGAAAAACTTCCTATTTAGAGCCTAAGAAAATTTTATCTTGAAAATCAAATAGATGAGAATGTAGCCAGCGCAGAATCTCTCCGTTTAAAAAAGTTTCCAACTAATTCATTAACAGTGAGAGAAACAGTGCATTATTATACTCAATTATGTTAGAAAACACTACTTTAGAGGATAAAAGATAGGAAATGGTGCAAATTTCGTTATTCGTGGCTCAAAATATATTAGTAAAATTTAAAACGAATATGAATTTGTAGACAGTTGAATACTATTTCAGAAAATGTGTATTAGCAAACGGAGGAAGATCGTTCAGTATCTGAAAATTATTAATAAAGTTTAATTAACTCTTTTTCCGAAACTAACAAAAAACTTGACAATTTCTGGTTGAGAGTGGACAACAAAACATAACGTATCATGTCCGATTCGAAAGTGTGATAAAAATGCTTCTAGTTTCGATAATTAGTTAATTGGAACGCATTTTGTTATAAGGCACGCGCAATGCAAACTGACGGCAAAATTTTTCGACTTGGGTTTTTGGCAAGGGGGAAACAGCAGAATTCCAAGCAGCTGTGGACTTCTAGGCCTACAGAAACTTGGGAAGTCCTATACAAACTTCCCAAAGCTCGAGAAACTGGAGGAATCCCTGGGAATACAAGAAAAAATCGGAAAAATGAATTAGAATCCGATAAAAATCTGTAAAAACGAAGGAAAATGAAAAAACGAAGCGGAAAAATTCAAAAACAGTCAGGAAAATTCTGCGGGCTCAGCGAAATCACGAAGAACACCAAGGAGTCTCCAGGAGTACAACAAAATTTGAAAAAAATTGATTGCCTGTGGAACGGAGCCCAGATTACAAAGCTCACAAAATCTACTGTTTCTCCTTGGTTGTTGGGCAGAACATTCAAATTATTTTTTTCTTATTCAGCGTTGAAAACTAATTCAAAAAATAATATTAAATTCATTTTGTAGGTAAACGTTTGTCCACCATGGACTTCTGAAAGGACCAATGGAAAATCGGGATGAGTTATTTTGTTGACTTATCTAGTTTTTTGTGTTAAGGGATGAAGCCGTCGTTTGCATCTCAGTAGATTCGCTGTAAGCCAGACTTTAAAATATGTCGTGCCTTTTTTAAAGTTTTATTTCGTTGCTGAGAAAATTCATTTTTTCTAAACCAGAGGTGAACAAGTCGGAATTCTGTCCGTAATTCTCTATTTTCTCTATCAGAGCTCAACTTCCTTGTGGAATAAAAATATCATATTTGGAGTCAGGATCAAAAAAACGAATCAACTGATGTGTATCTCTATCCTATCCGATAACTTTAATTTTTGTCGAACTTTCACGTTCAAAATTTTTATTCCACATGGAAGTTGAGTACTGATAGAGAAAATTGAGAATTATGGACAGAATTCCAACTTGTTCTGGTTTAGAAAAAATGAATTTTCTCAGCAGCGAAATAACACTTTAAAATAGGCACGACATATTTTAAAATCTGGCTTACAGCGAATCTACTGAGATGCAAACGACGGCTTCATCCCTTAACACAAAAACTAGATAAGTCAACAAGATAACTCATCCCGATTTTTCATTGATCCTTTTAGAAGTCCATGGTGGACAGGCGTTTACCTACAAAATGAATTTAATATTATTTTTTGAATTAGTTTTCAACGCTGCCCAAGGAGAAAAAAAATATCGACTATCGGGCGATCTAGCTAGCTAACTCAATATACTACCCGATATACCTAGCTAGCAATTCGAATTGGGTTATTTACTATCGGGCGATATAGCTAGCTAACA